GCTCCAAATGCAAACTTTGCATGCAACAATCAGGCAGCAATTGACAGCACTCTGATCTAGTGGCATACAGGCATCGTCAGATTGACAGTACTCTAGCCCAATAATGTTGGGGGATCCAGTGGGGGCGGCAGTCATATTTCAGGGTGACCGTGCCACTCTTTATCACAACCCTGCTAAAAGTGCCAGTACGTGCGCTCATTGGCGCCCCTTCAGCTGGTGGCGCCCTAGGCAACCGCCTAGCTCGCCTATGCCTAGAAACGGCCCTGTCTGTGTGTGTTAGAACATGTTATGGAGGAATGCTTAGACACACAATTTGAGGTCACGCTGTAGATTGCTTTCAGCATTTAATGCAGGAGACTGCAAAAGAATAGCTGTTGTGACATGTTTCAAATTTCATCTACAGTTCAACCTATTTTTATATAATTATTACATGCACTTTTATAACTTTGTATAAAATCTTGAAACGCTAATTGCCCAATGCATCATTATATGTATCAGTTTTCTCAGTGTTCTGAACTGACATATTATAGTTCATCTAAATCTATGTATAATTATTATACACGCATGTTTATAATTTGCTACATATTAATTTTGTAGTCGTAGTTGATTAAATTTTTTTACTTTATTTTTGCAGTTTTCATAAACCTAAATGGTAACAACATACCTCTTATATAGTGTTCTGCACTGTGACAGTTCATCAGTAATATACCGTAGTATAATTATTATACATGTACTTTTATAACACACACACCTATATATATATATATATATACATATAGTTAATCTATAATCCAGTTCACCCTATTTTTATATAATTATTGTGCATGTACTTTTATAACTGTATAAATTATGATATAATATAGTTAATCTAAATCTGTGTATAATTATACACGTTTATGACGTCATATTAATTATGTAGTTGATGTAATTAAATTTTATTTATGCGGTTTTCGTTGCGGTTTACTGCAATAACGCCAAAAAAGAAATGCTCAAATTAATCATTGAGGTTGGAAATGGTGCTCTCTTGTGGCCCAATTGCTGCAGTTCATAATTCAAAGTTTTCAATATTCATTTGTCACATTGCAGGAGCATTACATTTGATAGATAGATATTAATGTCATATGTAGGATTTCTTTTTAATTTCAGCCTTTGTTTCTCTTAGATGCTGTCCTCAATTTTTTAGTAATTTCATTTCCGTTTTAAACATTCCAAAAAACAATTCATTATTAGTACAACTACTACTACTATTACTAATAATAATTAGTACTAATTATTAGTTACTGCTCATGTAGAACTCAACTAAATGCGTGTAAAATGACGCCCTCTTGTGGTCAGTGGCTGCACTTCCGTCCGTGTCCCAGGAGGAGTCCAGCGTCACAGGAAATGACGAAGGCAAGAGTCAGCGGGCGAGTTTATGAAAGTCCCAGCAAAAGCGCGCGCAGTTACACTCAGCGCCTCGAGAGCAGACACGCCTGTGTTTCTTTGAGTCTTTGGATTTGTACGTGCTACTACTAAAACACTTTTATAGTCTAGAATTACTGCGTTCCTGCACTTGAAGACGAGCAGAAAGCCAGGCCGCGCTTGTGTCATAACAGGAATTAAATAACTTTTGTCCTCCTACCATAAAAAAAAGAAGCACAATGTTTGAGGCACGTCTCGTTCAAGGATCAATCCTTAAGAAGGTTCTGGAGGCTCTGAAGGACCTCATCACCGAAGCCTGCTGGGATGTCAGCTCCTCGGGGATCTCGCTGCAGAGCATGGATTCGTCTCATGTGTCTCTGGTGCAGCTCACGCTCCGGAGCGATGGGTTCGACTCCTACCGCTGCGACAGAAACCTGGCCATGGGTGTCAATTTGAGCAGGTACTGATGGAAATGATGCGAGTTTGGTGTTGTTTGCCATGTAACCGCTTAGTCTGTTCGTGCGCGAGGAGCCCGCCATTTGTAAGATGTAAAAAATTATTGTATTGCTTACCCGATGATTAGTATTGTTGAAATGCTATATTAATGTATCCCGAATAATTGCAGTTCAGAAAAGGTTTAGTTGTAGTATTTGGCGCGTAGAGGGTTTCCTGCATTCTCCCCTCACTGCTGAGCGTGACGTCATTTCCCCGCGCTCAAGCTGGTTGGCGCGAAAAAGACTTCATAATAACAAAGTCTTCGTCAAAAAAGACGTGAACCAAATTTTTAACTGACAGTCAAATATTCGACTGTATAATCATTTTTAAAAGGGAAACTGGTTTTTTTTTTCTTTTTGTAACCGCGTGGATTAATTTGATTCAGAATGCAATTCTATACGTTTCAATAAAAAGTGCCAAAACTTGAGTGTTTGATTCTAATTATTTGATTCTTGTTTTCTAGCATGTCAAAGATTCTGAAGTGTGCTGGAAATGAAGATATCATCACACTTAGGGCAGAAGACAATGCTGACTCTTTGGCGCTTGTCTTTGAAACACTCAGTGAGTTCATAAGCCTTTACTTTTACTTCACTGGTTGTTACATATTTAACCTATAACTAGGCAAAAGAGCTGCAGTGCCTTATCTATTTTTTCTGGCTATAGTTTATTGATGGTGTGCTGCGAGTTATGATAGTAAGAGCACTTGCTGAACTTTGAATGCGTTTCAGATCAGGAGAAAGTGTCCGACTATGAGATGAAACTGATGGATCTGGATGTGGAGCAGCTTGGCATTCCAGTAAGACTTATTTTAGGAATACTGATATGAATGCATGGTTTTTTTGTGTGTGTGTTGCTTTTTTTGTGTGTGTTTCATTCTCTTTTTCACTTCAGGAGCAGGAATACAGCTGTGTGGTGAAGATGCCCTCTGGTGAATTTGCCCGAATCTGCAGGGATCTGTCACAGATCGGTGATGCCGTCATGATCTCTTGCGCTAAGGATGGTGTGAAGTTCTCTGCCAGCGGAGAGCTGGGCACAGGCAACGTCAAGCTCTCACAGACCAGCAATGTCGACAAGGAGGATGAAGCGGTAACATTCTTTTAACATCGGCAAAATTACCAACAAATGTCAGGTGTGGCAGTTTTGTGAGTTTGTATGTCATGAAGGCAATTCACAGCGCTGTGTTCCCTACAGGTGACAATTGAGATGAATGAGCCAGTGCAGCTTATCTTTGCATTGAACTACCTGAACTTTTTCACCAAGGCCACTCCTCTGTCCAAGACGGTCACGCTCAGCATGTCTGCAGACATTCCACTAGGTATGATAAATGCTCTCATGGCCATATTAATTTGCCTTTTGAGTTGAAACAATTTAAATGATTATCCTTTTTTTCTTTTGCAGTGGTTGAGTACAAGATTGCAGACATGGGACACGTCAAATACTATCTGGCACCCAAGATTGATGAAGAATCGTCCTAAATCCAAGTACAAGACTAAAATCTTCGGCAGAATTTTGGTCTGCATATCAGAAATGATTTCGATAGATGTTTTGGGGAAATGCATTTTACTACTTTGTGTCTGCGGTGGTTTCCATTTCAATGGATTCAAAATTCTGTAACCATTTAAGCCATTTCATATGATTGGCAGATATATGGGCACACTTAAACGATAGTAGTTTGGTATTCGGCTTTACCAGGTGATGTGGGCTGAATCTAGAGTTGTTACAGACAGCATGCACAGACTTACTAGGTTCAGTCTCGTTTTCTTGGTCTTTGTGCTCGTCTTCCTCCTCGACTCCACTTCAGGTTTTTGTCCAACTTCTCATTCCAGTGTGTAGATAATTGTCTGTAAATATGCTAATTGGACACTGTTCATCCAGTCAACCATTAATAAAAAAGTTTGTAATGATGGTTCTCATCTGTGTTTCTTAGATCATAATGTACTTGATATTTAAAAGAAGGTTGTTTAAATGTTCTTCAATTATTATTTTAAATATAAAAACTTAATGTACTTGTAAAATGTAATGTTCTAAAAGTGTTGAGAGTTCTGTTTGAAACAATGTGAATTTAGTTTGGCCACTAGAGAGAGCCAGAGTAGCAGAATTTACTGCAGTATAGTGTTTGTACAATTTTTTTTTTTTTTAGAATGATAATTTTTGACTTGTTTTGTAAAAGTTAAAATTAGTACTTTTTCTTGAGTAAGTCTCAGAAATAGCATTCAAGAGGAGCATTTCCATTCGTAAGACAAGGCTCTTTGCTTTTGAATGATGCTCAAGAAATTGATTTGTGTCCAATATTTCAGTGAATATTGAATCGGTTCTCAAAACCGATCTGGGAATTGTGTGTTTTTTAAAAAAGCGTGAGTGTATGTTTCATTAAAAGTGCCCAAAACTGAGTATTTATATTCGATTTTTTTTTCTTGTTTTCTAGCATGTCAAAGATTCTGAAGTGTGCTGGAAATGAAGATATCATCACACTTAGGGCAGAAGACAATGCTGACTCTTTGGCGCTTGTCTTTGAAACACTCAGTGAGTTCATAAGCCTTTACTTTTACTTCACTGGTTGTTACATATTTAACCTATAACTAGGCAAAAGAGCTGCAGTGCCTTATCTATTTTTTCTGGCTATAGTTTATTGATGGTGTGCTGTGAGTTATGATAGTAAGAGCACTTGCTGAACTTTGAATGCGTTTCAGATCAGGAGAAAGTGTCCGACTATGAGATGAAACTGATGGATCTGGATGTGGAGCAGCTTGGCATTCCAGTAAGACTTATTTTAGGAATACTGATATGAATGCATGGTTTTTTTGTGTGTGTGTTGCTTTTTTTGTGTGTGTTTCATTCTCTTTTTCACTTCAGGAGCAGGAATACAGCTGTGTGGTGAAGATGCCCTCTGGTGAATTTGCCCGAATCTGCAGGGATCTGTCACAGATCGGTGATGCCGTCATGATCTCTTGCGCTAAGGATGGTGTGAAGTTCTCTGCCAGCGGAGAGCTGGGCACAGGCAACGTCAAGCTCTCACAGACCAGCAATGTCGACAAGGAGGATGAAGCGGTAACATTCTTTTAACATCGGCAAAATTACCAACAAATGTCAGGTGTGGCAGTTTTGTGAGTTTGTATGTCATGAAGGCAATTCACAGCGCTGTGTTCCCTACAGGTGACAATTGAGATGAATGAGCCAGTGCAGCTTATCTTTGCATTGAACTACCTGAACTTTTTCACCAAGGCCACTCCTCTGTCCAAGACGGTCACGCTCAGCATGTCTGCAGACATTCCACTAGGTATGATAAATGCTCTCATGGCCATATTAATTTGCCTTTTGAGTTGAAACAATTTAAATGATTATCCTTTTTTTCTTTTGCAGTGGTTGAGTACAAGATTGCAGACATGGGACACGTCAAATACTATCTGGCACCCAAGATTGATGAAGAATCGTCCTAAATCCAAGTACAAGACTAAAATCTTCGGCAGAATTTTGGTCTGCATATCAGAAATGATTTCGATAGATGTTTTGGGGAAATGCATTTTACTACTTTGTGTCTGCGGTGGTTTCCATTTCAATGGATTCAAAATTCTGTAACCATTTAAGCCATTTCATATGATTGGCAGATATATGGGCACACTTAAACGATAGTAGTTTGGTATTCGGCTTTACCAGGTGATGTGGGCTGAATCTAGAGTTGTTACAGACAGCATGCACAGACTTACTAGGTTCAGTCTCGTTTTCTTGGTCTTTGTGCTCGTCTTCCTCCTCGACTCCACTTCAGGTTTTTGTCCAACTTCTCATTCCAGTGTGTAGATAATTGTCTGTAAATATGCTAATTGGACACTGTTCATCCAGTCAACCATTAATAAAAAAGTTTGTAATGATGGTTCTCATCTGTGTTTCTTAGATCATAATGTACTTGATATTTAAAAGAAGGTTGTTTAAATGTTCTTCAATTATTATTTTAAATATAAAAACTTAATGTACTTGTAAAATGTAATGTTCTAAAAGTGTTGAGAGTTCTGTTTGAAACAATGTGAATTTAGTTTGGCCACTAGAGAGAGCCAGAGTAGCAGAATTTACTGCAGTATAGTGTTTGTACAATTTTTTTTTTTTTTAGAATGATAATTTTTGACTTGTTTTGTAAAAGTTAAAATTAGTACTTTTTCTTGAGTAAGTCTCAGAAATAGCATTCAAGAGGAGCATTTCCATTCGTAAGACAAGGCTCTTTGCTTTTGAATGATGCTTAAGAAATTGATTTGTGTCCAATATTTCAGTGAATATTGAATCGGTTCTCAAAACCGATCTGGGAGAGGGGCCAATGGTTTCCAGTTGTAGGCTTGCTGACTTGGATATTTTAAGTGCTGAAGATGCCCAAAAGAGTCTGCATAGGTATGGAGAGTTTTATTTATTTATTTTTTTTTTTACTTTTAAATCATGTTTATTATTAATTGCTTGTTGAAACTATGGGCTCATGTGCTGGGTTTAATGTTTTTTATTCAATTTAAATATTTAGCTTTTTTCCAATAAAGTCACCATTAGATATCTGCACTCCAAAGAATTATTAGTTGTTTACAGTAAATACAGCTACAATTAAATATGCTTCTAACAGTCCTTAACTTGTTAACTCGATTCCACTTTTTGAGCATAGACCTGAAAATGACATTTCCAACTTAAATTGTAATACATTTTGAATGCTTTGGCGCACAGACTTAAGGTTTGTCATTTTTTAAAGAAGACACTTGGCAGATTTTTGTAGCAGTGAAAAAAGTTATAAAAATTATATTACAAAGAAGTTATGGAGTTTAAGTTTATGAAATGTAAAAATTAAAATATATTTTATAATATAATTTACTCTAAAACTGCTAGAAAATTAAAACAAAAAATCTGAACAAGTTGTGTTCCGTATTTGAGGTTGATATCTCAAAAAATGAGCTTTAAGTGAGATTTTGTTTGGGTGTAGTACCAAGCTTTTCCACTAGATGACCATCAAACCCCATTAGTAACCATATATTGGCACCTCCATTTACATATATGGTTTGAGTGATCTGAAACATGTTTTTCATACTTTTCTCAATAATTATGAAGTAGATATCCCGTTCAGAAGTATTAAGGGCAGTATGGCAGTATTTGATTTCGGTTTAACCTCTGAAAAACACGTAAAAGACATGCGACGAGAACCTTAGACCTACATTACAGTTCACGCTGCATCAAACATGTAGAATCTATTGTTTTTTTTCTTTATATTCAAAACACTTTTAAACCTTTTTTCCCCCAAAATAGAATCAATGTTAACTTTTGAACACTTGGCAAAAAATTTTTTTTTACTGATTTTTCATGATTTCATATGTGCATCACTATTTCAAAGTAAAGGTCAGAACTTGCTCTCTGACTCTGATAAGTATGCTTCTTACAAATTAATAAATTACAGTTGCTCTGTAAAATATTTCAAAAAATTAGTCACCAAATATGAAAACTAGAATCTTTAAGCGTTCAAAATATATATAGTTTGTCAAGATTACTTTGGGTTCAGACTAAGATATTACTGTTTTAAACATGTAATGACAAGAGGGCCCACCGGTGGGCCAGTGACAGTTAAAAGGGTTAGTTCACCCAAAAATGAAAATTAGACTGTGTTTTACTCACCCTCGAGGCATCCTAGGTGTATATGACTTTCTTCTTTCAGACGAATCATATCGGAGTTATATTAACTATTCCAAGCTCTATCATTGCAGTCAGCTTCTGTTCAACTGTCCACAAGTCGTCAAATAAAGTGTGCGCATCCATAATAAAATGTGACACACGGCTCCGGGTGGGTGAATAAAGGCCTCCTGTAGCGAATCCAGGTGTTTTCATGAGAAAAATATCCATATTTCAAACGTAATAGACACTTTTTTCTCACTTCCGGTATCCGGCATACGTGGAAGCCATTCCGGCGGATGACGTAGGACGACGGCGTTGCGTGATTTGTGATGAATGCAGAGAGAGAACAAAACAAAACGCCGGTCACGAATTAGAAGTACAAACCAAGGATTTGTAAAGAAAAATGTCGGAGGATTTCGATATAAGCCAAGAGGAGGCTGATTTTGCTTTGCTAAAGTAAGGAAACTTTGCTTCCTTTGCTCCTTATAAACAAACTTGCGAGACTAGCATATCTCAGAGCCACGCGCGTTATGCATACGTCCTGCGTCATCCGCCGCTACGGCTTCCGCTTTGACAGATACCGGAAGTGAGAGAAGTGTTTATTACTTTGAAATATGTATTTTTCTTATGAAAACACATGCATTCATTATAGGAGGCCTTTATTCACCCCCAGAGCCGTGTGAGGCACGTTTTATTACAGATGCGCGCACTTTATTTGACGACTTGTGGACAGTTGAACAGAAACACCCGCTGACTGCAATGATAGAGCTTGGAAGAGCCAGGACAATTTTTATATAACTTCGATATGATTCGTCTGAAAGAAGAAAGTCATATACACCTAGGATGCCTCGAGGGTGAGTAAAACACAGGCTAATTTTCATTTTTGGGTGAACTAACCCTTAGGCTACACAACTGTAACAACTGTAGACTAACTATAATAAAACGTGCATTTAAAAAAAAGTTATTATAATGTAAACGCACATTTACACACACACTTTATCTTACAAGATACTGCATTCTTTGTTCTCCTTATGCTTCTTTTTATGACTGTGATGACTTGCTATGGCACTGTTTTCCTGCATGTCAGAAATGAGCTCCAGAAGTTTTTTCACCTGATGATTGCCTTTCTCGTTAAATGCATAACATCTTGAATGGCAGGTTTTGATCAGTTCCTGAAGTTCTTTGTCGCTACCATTGATGTAATCAGTTAAAGTCTTGTGCTTCAGCTTCTCTTTACCCGTGAAAAGAATTACAGTCTTTAAAGCCACATCCTCACCAAACTCTCTCTTCAGATGTGGGAGAACCTCTCTCTCACCTTCTGTGAAATGGCCAAGCTGCATAACCAGCAAATACACATCAGGCCCTGGCTGAGCGAGCTCTTTGCACTTCTTTATCTGTTCTTCCTGGTTTTTAAGGTCTTCATTAAAGAAATCTGGGGTGTCTATAACCCTAATCCTAATTTCATAAACGGTTTCCTCTGCCATGTTGCACTCCTTTGTTACTGGCACAGAACTGGCATGTGATTCAAAATGTTGCTTTTTTAGGATAGTATTTCCTGTAGCACTCTGAGGAAGATGAGAGACACCAGACCCAACAATGCAGATGACCTGAAGGCCATTGTCAAAGCAACCTGAGCTTTCATACCACCTCAGCAGTGCCACAGGCTGATTGTCTCCATGCCACGCCGCACTGATGCAGTAATTCATGCAAAAGGAGGCCCAACCAAGTATTGAGTACATGTACAGTAAATTAACATACTTTCCAGAAGGCCAACAATTCACTAAAAATGTTTTTTTTTATTGGTCTTATGAAGTATTCTAATTTGTTGAGATAGTGAATTGGTGGGTTTTTGTGAAATGTGAGCCAAAATCATCCCAATTAAAAGAACCAAAGACTTAAACTACTTCAGTCTGTGTGCATTGAATTTATTTAATACACGAGTTTCACAATTTGAGTTGAATTACTGAAATAAATGAACTTTTCCACGACATTCTAATTTATTGAGATGCACCTGTATATCGCATACCTTTCTGATGTTTGGTTCTTGCTTTCATTGTATTTCATCAGTTCTTTGATCAGTTCAGTATTCTTCATGCGTTTGTTGTAAACACACAGTCTGTTTCCACACTCATTCAGGATTATGTTGTAGTCTTTTCTGAATGACAGTGGTGTGTCTATTGAATTTGAAGATACCTTTTTATCACTGTTAACCAGCACAATTGTTTGTTCAACCATTTTCTGACCGAGCGTTTTCTTTAATTCCGTAAACATCTCCATCTCTTCTGGTGACACCATTCTGTCCTGGAGTACGAGGAGGAACACACGAGGACCTGCGTATGATGGCTTCAGCTCCTCCATACTGTCAGCTTCTGGATCTGATGAGCTTGGTTTATGAAAAAGGTCTGGAGTGTTGATAATACAGACCTTCTTACCATCAACATGATCTACAATCTTCTCATAGCTGACCTTCTCTGATCGGAAATGATCTTTTTGAAAAATTGTGTTCCCTATAAGACACTTGTTGTTGCTTATCTTTCCCAGCAGGACCACTGTCATCATGTGCTTACTTCCAGATGTCAGACCGCTATTTGCTGTGATAAATTCAAAAAACAACATACATCCTTCACAATATGAATGCAGAACATAGTTGTTTGTAGGACACAATTACTGGTAATTTAACATGGTGGTTTTCAACTGGTTTGGTGAAAGACCAAGATTTTACATTGGACATCAAGTGGTGACCCAACAATAATACCAAATCCGTAATTTCTATTTAATATAGTCAGGTCATATGTTCCTAGTTTCGATGATGAGGGCATGTCACCAATATGCTGATGTCTGTATATATGCCAAATTGTAAATAGCATTTATGTTGTTATCATATGTTACTCTACATGGTGAGTTATCATGGCATTATCTTTTTTCGCATTTAGCATGTTTTTGGCCCTCAGCTGTCTACAACCCTATCAGAACATACCACCTGATAACTCTTGATTTATCAGACACTTTTCATCATGATCGTGCACGTTTGGTAAATTGTAAACTTTTGTGAACAGCCCAGATCCTTGATCTTTTCATTCTTCTTGTGGTTAAGTAGGATATAAGGTGCATTACCCCAATGCAGGATATAAGGTGCATTACCCATTACCCTAATGCTACACTGTAAAAAAAAATAGTAGTTTTCACAAAATAATTTTGGCAGCTCTGGTTGCCAGAATAATTTTGTAAAAAATACAGAAAAAC